TAATTTTATGATATCATTTTATAGAATAATCTTTTTATGATTAAATTTAAAGTGATCTTGAAGCAATTTGTTAATACAAAAATTGTAATTAATCTTAAATGAAACAATTTATAATGATAAATATAAATTTATTTTTAAAAGTTTTTATAATTGAAAATAAAAAAGAATGGCTTTGTTTTAATACAAAACTAAAAACTCTTTAGTAAACAAAAAAAAAGATAAGAAAATTTATTAACAATAGTCTAAAATTAAATTAAATTATTTATTTATATAAAAAAAATTAAAAATTAAATCATTCCTGATAAAAAAAGAAATTTTTTAAAAAATAAAACTCCTAAAAATAAAAAAATTTTAAAAAAAAATTAAAAAAAATTAAAAATTCCACCACCTCCCGCCTTGATAAATATAAAAGAAATTAAAAAAAAAAAATAAAAAAAAATTAATCACCCTACTCATCATCCCAACTATTGGTTCGCTATCAATACGTTACAAGCTTTTCTTCAATAATGCTTTGTAATTAAAAAATGTAAAAATACTTAATATAAATTTAAAATTTCCTAAAATTTTATTAAAAATTATCAATTAAACATTTTTAATAATTACCTGGCCTATCCCAAAACCTAGTTTGAAATAAATTATAAAATCATTCTCTATTATATGACTACTTTTCCCTTTTCTTGTACCATTATACCCATCACAAAAGTCCTAATGGATATATATTAATTACTTATACTATTAAGTTATATTTATCAACATATTATTATTTATTTATTTATTTACTCCATAATTCTTCACCAGATTTCTCCACTTCTGTTCACATTATCAAGCAGAAAAATTATCATTATATTGTTAATTTATTCTTTTTGTAATACTTTACCAGAATCCTAATTTATTTCTGCGAAAATAATAATGATATTTATGATTACATTTCCTCCTTTCTTTGATTAAATAGTTAGTCTCAACATCCCTTCAGATAATTCTTGCAACAGCCATTTTTATTAGATTTGTAAAAATTAAAAAATTTGATGGTTTGATTTAATAAAATGAATGAGAGAATTGAAAGCATTTAAAGGTAAAAAATTAAATGATGGTAAAATACTTTCTTTTAAAAATAAATTTCTTTATTATTAAATTGAGAAAAATTTTTTTATTATTGAATTGAAATTTTAATTTGATATCTTATGAAAACTTGAATAATACAATAAACTCACAATTAAAATGCTCAACTCTTTGTATTTGAAATTCTGATTCAAATTTCAAAAACAATTCAACTGTCATATTATTTATAAAATTAAATTAACACAAATATAACTTAAGTGAAATTTTTAATATGGTAGATTATACAATTAGAGATAATATAATTCATCATTTGGGTAATAAATATAAATTATTATAAAAAAATGATGATAGAAAAACAATAGAAATTTCAATACAAGTTTAATAAAAATTCATTATAAATTCGTTAAAAATTATAAAAAACAATATGAATTTTTCAACACAATTTTAACACTATTGCAGGAAGGTATTATTTAGTCAATATATTAAATTTGTATTTTCATAATACCATTTTATTATATATTATATTTATTACGTAAAAAAAATCCTCAAATTATTAATGTTTTGTGTTAAAAAAAATTATTATTAATTTTAATATCCAAATTATTAATGATTTTGTGTTAAACAATAATTATTATTAACATTATTACATTAAAAAAAATTGCATCAAATTATTATTAATGTTGTTAAAAAAATCACTATTATTATTTAATTATAGTAACAAACTTATTGAGATTGGTTTGTCTCATTAAAATAAACTGGATTTCAAAGCTTCTTTTTTAAGCTTTTTAATAAGCTTTAATTCTTTATTGTTCACATTAAAAACTTTTTCCCATTATTTCAAATATAAAATAACTTTATCATAAACTTCAATAGCTTTATTATAAGTAATTGTTGGTAAAGGATTCTCTTCTCCTTTATTTTCTTGTTCTTGTTCATTAGGTAAAACTGCTTTTACAATTTTTTCATCAGATATCATTTCTCCCATAGTCTCAGACTTATTAAATTAAACAAATTCTTTAGCAGTTTAAGGATCATCAAAAACATGTTTATCAATTAAAACTTGAACTTCTTTCAATTCCCTTAGATGTTTAAGTTCAAGTTGTATATTAGTAAAGATTTCATCTTTGTCATTATCATTGTTATCATTAAGTAGAATATCTGCTTTCAATTAATAATTTTAAATTGTATCTTATATTATATTATTCCATGCTCAGGAAACATATTTTACTCACTTTTTAATATTAATTTCCATAGATTTGATGTGATAATCATTGAAATAGTTAAAAGATTTGATCTGATTTTATAGGTAAAGCTTTTGATATTATGCTTAAAATAAGTTAAATTTAAATTAAAGTATAAATAAAGTATAAAATATAGGAATGTTTAAATTGAATACGTTTCTTACTATAAAACTATTAATAATACTTTGATTACAAGGTTGAAGATACGTCGTAGTGTTTGGGAGAAGGTGTTTGATGATGATATTTGTTTAATGAGTAATTTTATATAGAGCATATGTTAGGAATTATCAATAAGAAGAAGAATATTTTGATTTTGCCTTATCATTCAGCTATTAAGTTTATTGATATATTCGTTTCAAATTAACATTTGTATCTGACTTTTTGTATTTCAATAATAATATACTAGAAGGGTCTTTATCAATATTTTTAAGGATTTTAGAATTTTCATACTTATGTATAAAAAGAGGAGCTAACTTTTCACTCCCAGTAGCATTACAGGTAAGTAGAATAGTTACACAATCCTTTAATTACTTAATTTTAGATACTTAGTCATTTGATATTATATGACTGGATTTCATCTTCCAAAATAAACCCATTTCATCACAATTAAAGACATCATTAGAGTCATAATTCTTTAGAATGTTATGAAGTTCATCACACATTACATTAGATCATCAAGTGGTGCACTTGTAGCTTCACTATATATATTATATTGTCTTAAGTTATGCTTTTTCTTAAAATTGTCTACCTATCTATTGGAACCTTTGAATTTATTCTCACTAAACAAAAAAGCAAACCCTAAAAAGCCTTAGTTAACAGAATACTATCCATTATAATAAGATCAACTTGAAGTGTATTTTCTACCTAAAATATTAAAGCTTCTTCAATAAGAGGAAAGGTTATTTTTTTTTACGTTTCAAATCAGCTTTATATAATTCAGTATATATAGCAAGCTAGCAGTCCTTTTCTTTTAAAATATCACTAACTATACCCTCACTAACTTCATATTCATATGCTAAGTCTTTTTGTTTTAATAAGAAAGATAAAGTTTTTTTTAAACAAATCTCTTTTTTTGCTATCAATAAGAATAATTCTCTTTCTATTGCATGTGTTTTATTAAGTTACTTTATTGCTGTAAGTAAGTTCCTTATTATTGAACTTTACAACTTTAGGGAATCTCACATTCTACAGATATCCAGAATGCCTTAGAATTACTTCATTTGACTTTATAAATTTAAAGGTTTAGGAACTTAAGGAAAAACATAAAAAGTTTGTTTATTCTAAGTGACAAACTTAAAAGCAAGTTAGTGTAATAGTTCACAATCAAATTTTAGATAATAAATACATAGAAGGGAAAAGTAATTGTTTTTTAAAGTTGATTTCTTTATTTATTATTTGAAACTCACAAGTATTTTAGAACTTACAAGAGAATTAATTTACAACTTGAGCAAAAAGCTATTCTATTTATATAAAATTAATTTTGCTAAGACTAATTAGTTGCTATGCTATAAATTAACTAAATTTGTAACTACAAGTACTGGTATAATAATAATAATAATAATAACAAAATAATAGTTATAATATAGATAATAATAATAATAAAAATAATAAAAATAACGATAATAATTAAATTAATGAAAATACAGAGAATTAGGAAGATCTAATGAATCATAACGATCATGTAAATTAGTAAATCCTAAGAATCATAAAAATCCTATAGATTTTGCAGATCATTTAGTATAGTATTTGTCAGACTTATTTCGTCATTCCATTGATCACTAATGATCAGTGTAGTAAAGTTGATTTCTGATGTTAACATTATGCAGTAGTAAAAGACTTTCATTTTTTTAAAGGTTCATTACTATGTTTCTTTGAACTTATTTTCGGCATTCTTATGTTAAAGAAATATAAAAAAAATTGCAAAACATGCAAAACAAAGAAACATTTATAAAAAAAATAGCAAATCATTACACAAAACACTTTCATTAACTTTATCAAGATAACAAAAAATTACAAAATTTCATGATCTTTTCTATTAAAATTAATTTTTGTAAATCTTCATTATATTAAAAAAATCTTTATTATAAATAAATGCATTATACAAAGAGATATTTATATAATATATGTTTACATACTTAAATTTGTTAAACATAATATGAATTTTAGTTTAATAAATTTGGTATAGTAAGGTTTTTTCTATATTTAAAATTTGTATCACACTATAAATCTGTTAAATCATAAAATTCATTATATCAAAATTCATTATAAAAAAGTTGACTGTACAACAAATGTTATAAACTAAAGAAAATATTAAAAGTAAATAGCTAGTAGGCATTATTATTAATGTTGATAATTCTAATAAAAGAAGTTAAATATAAAAGTTTTTTAAGTAAGAAATATGTAAAAAAGTAATTAGCTAATAAATATATATTATTTATATAATTGAAATAACACTTAGTATTGAATGTGAAAAAACATATTATACAGATACTTTAATAGGAAATTTAATTATATATTTATCTGTTAAATATGAAGTAACTCAGAAAAATCTATATTCTAAAGAGATACATATGATATTTTAAAAATTATATATTAAATATATATTAATACACTAATTTATAATATACATATTTATTTTAGCTAATACAGTACACACTTGATCACTTTGTAAAATCATATAATAATAAAAAATAAAATCATCTATGATAATTTCTGATAGATTGAATTATTCATAACTTTAAATCTCTTATAATAGTTTAAAGTATATATTTCAAAAAATTTATTAATGAATTAGATCTGATTTTTAAGATTCTAATATAGCAAATAATACATTATACTTATAATCACTTAATATCACTTTTAAAAAAAACATTTATAATAGCATACTTTAAAGGCTTTAACATAAACATGTAGATATCTATAAGCTTAAAAGAATACATTAGAGTCACATATTCATTTGTAGATAAAAATTGAAAACTTACAGAATTTACCTTAACTGTTCAATATATTAATATCTATACTATACATGAAGTCAAAATAAAAACCCAAAAGTCGAAATGTTTCGACTTTGGAGGTCAAAGTCGAAATGAAAAGTCAAAATGGTCGAAATTACGTCATATCACATGATTTTTTATATATAGAAAAACAAAAAAAAATAAAAGATGTACGATCTCGGTCAATATCACACCGATTCGTATGAAACAACTACGATTTGTAATATACCTTAGTTAATAGCAAAAAAAGTCGTCTCCTAATAAAAGAAGAAATATTAGTAAAAATCTTAAAAAACAACTATCCCGATTTGTAGACTTATCTTAATTAATAGCAAAAAAGTCCACTTCTATTAAAAAAGAAAAAAAAATTAGTCAAAATCCAAAAAACAATCATTCTGAATTGTAAACTCACCTTAACCAATAGTAAAATGGTTATAAAAGAAAAAAAATTAGTAAAAATGCAAAAACAATTATCCCGATTTGTAGACTTATCTTAACCAATAGCAAAAAAATCCAATCCTATTAAAAAAAAAGCAAAAATACCAAAAGAGTCCCGAAAAACCACTTAACTTATCTAAAAGAAAGAACATTTGTTACTATAAAAAAAAGAAAAAATAAGTAAAAAAAACCATTATCTAAAAGAAAGAAAGGTTCTTTACTAAAAAAAAGAAAAAAAATTACAAAGAAGAAAGGATATTCTGATTTATGATACAGTAAGTGAATTGTATATAAAAAGTTAATAGAAGACAAAAATCATATTTGAATATAATAGTTCGTATTCGAAATGAAGATATTCATCATTGATTAATAAATTCGTATTGAATGCAAAAATCATCTTCAAACTGACGAAAAATGTATTCAAATGTGAAATTCGTCTTTGATAGATGAAATTCATCTTCAAATTGACGAATCTTGTAAAAGTAATGAATCATTATAAGAAATTCGTAAAGAATCACTTAACAAATTTTGTTATGATTTATTATAATAAATTTCATAATGAATCGTTAGAATTCTTTAATGATTCATTAGAATTATTTGTTAACCGATTCATAATGAAATTTCATTAAGCAAATTCATTATAACAAATTGTAACACATTTCTTTAAGCAAAATCGTTAATAAATTTCATTAAAAGAATCATTAACAAATTTTATTAACTGATTCATAATGAAATTTTATTAAGCAAATCATTATTGAATTTCATTTAAACAAATTGTTAACAAATTTCATTGAACGAATTGTACGAAATTAATTATAATGATTCATAATAACAGAAATCGTTTAAATGAATCTTAACGAAATTCGTTGAACGATTCATTATATGAATTTTGTTTAAACAAATCATAATGAATTATATTAATTGATTCGTAACGAAATTAGTTATAATGATTCATTATAATGAAATTCGTTTAAACGAATCATAACGAAATTCATTGAACAATTCATAATACAAATTTCATTTAAACGAATCATAACGAATTTCATTTAACAATTCTTTAATAAAATTCGTTTAAACGAATTTAGTTAACTGATTCATAACGAAATTTCATTTAGCGAATTATTAACAAATTTTGTTAAAAGATAACAAATTTCATATAATTCGTTTAAACAAAATCATATAACGAATTTCATTATAAATTGTTAACAAATTTTATTAACAAGACTTATTAGTGAATTATTACCAATCGGTAAATTCTAATTGAATAATAATTATCAATTGATTATTAAACTGATTGATAACTAATTATTTATTGAACCTGATTTGTTACTATTTAACATATAGGAGCTGATCTATTAAAAGTGGGTTTTGAGACTATAAATTTATTTTGAGTAATTGATGATCAAAAAAATATTACACAACAATAAACATACTTAGCCAATAAAAATTGCACTAAAAATATATATATTGAGTCGAATCAATTGATATGGCAATTAAAAAAAAAAAACTCTCTCCTGTTTATTCCAATATGACCAAAAAAAACAGCGAGCAAAAAACCAAACAACAAGGACGTATGTCTTCTCCTTTAACAACGCACAAAGCCAAAAAACAAAATATAATGCTAACTAAAAATGATACAGCAATTGATTTCAAATTTACAAAATGTTGCAACATACGTTGCAACATTATAAGTTGCAACATATATAGGTTAAAACTAATTGCAACGTAAGTTGCAACATTAAAAGTTGCAACATATTAATTACAGTTCCTATCTATAGTCTACAAGAAACGAATTTCCTCCAACAACATATTCGACCATTTAACCTTGAACACTCACCTAACTTTGTTGGCTTTTTCAGTTCAGAATCAACTCATAACAGAACTGGTTTTAGCGTAGGCATCTTATTACGACTATCACTGGCCAATCATGTTTTTTATCATAAAAATATTTTCAATCGAATTATTTATATTGACCTTCAGTTTACCAATAAACAAAAACTACAATTTATCAATTGCTACCTGCCTCCATCTGACATCACAACAAGAAAATTGGTTCAAAAAGAATTAGTAAAATTGATTAATGACGCTATTTCTAAGGATTTCCACATTATTTTAACTGGGGATTTCAACGCCGATATGGACTGAGACAAGAATCCAAAGGGAGCAAAAGAATTTTTTTCGTTAATCCAAAATTTGCATTTATTCGACGCATGTATATTGAAACACAGTAATGATCGGGTCAAATATCCAACCTTCAAATCAATAACTTCAACTTCGCGCATTAATTTTGTTTGGATTTCTGCAGATTGTGCCTATAACTTTAATACTTGTAATACAGTATCTGTATTACCGCAAATTTCCGATTATGTAATTGTAATTTGTTCTATAGATAACTACCTCGATGTCATGAATAACAAACGAAACATTCTGAAAAAAATGATATACAATTATGATAAGATGACCGATGATCTCTGGAAAGAATTCAAAGATAAAATGGACGCACTTACCAACAGTTGTGAACTGCGCCTCCTAAAATTCAACACAAAATTTAATCAAATCAAACTTAATTTTTACTGGGACTTGTTGTAAGCCTGTATAATCAAAGCCGCCAATAACATTATTTTGTTACATAAATCATCTGGACAACACAAATTAAAAAAATCTCTTTTGTTAACTAAACATTATAAAAATCTTAGATTTTTATATAAGTTCAATAAGAAGATTAAAACAGCATGCAAATCTGATAAGTTACTAGAGGATTGGTCCATAATTTACAACAGATTTCATGAGATCTCTAACATTTTTGGATACCATTTAATAGCGTTACTACCCACACCGAACATGTATCTTCTAATATCGTTATTTCCAAGTGTTAAATTATACTCAATTGTCTTCTAATTAAGACCAAACTACATGAGTAAGAATTCAAGTTAAAATTAATACAACAAGCTGTAGAAAGTAGGTTGGACAATTATGCAACCGCTCCTTCTCAAATGATCGATTCAGTACTTAATCGTTTATGAAAGACTATTGTGTTAGATAGATGTCTCAATGATGCATCTGGATCACGTGACCTTCTAACGGATGAAACGTTTGTCAAAAAAAGAGTTAATCAACATGTCCAGTTAGCTGCTGGCACTTCGCATGAGAATATGGATATCCCAGATGAGTGGAATTCCTTTTATAAACCATTAGATAGTATCAACAGTTCTATATATGATGGATCATGATCTTACCTATGGCTAAGGAATGGTATGATGTCATCGCTACATTGCCAAATGAAAAAGCTTCTGGTTTTTCCAAAGTATTGAATGAAATGTTAAAACACCTTGGTCTACATGTGAATAAATTACTTTGGTATCATCACGAATTTAAATATAACGAAGTACTTTGAAAATTTACGTTGTGTAGGTTTTCATAAACCTACGAGACCCACAGAGTTTTATGTAATGTAATACTTTGAAGATCTATGTAATGTAATACTTCAGAGGTTTATATTTCGAAGGTCTATATAATGTAATACTTCGAAAGTTTATGTAACGTAATACTTCGAAGGTTTATGTAATGGAATATTTCAAAGGGTTATAAATCATAATTTTACACAATACTCAAATAACATGTATAATAAGTAAATCATAA